GCTCACAAGACACGAACCTGTTTGGCATCAACGTACGTAATGAGTACCCAAAAGAATATTTCAAAATAACCAAATATATATTCAATATTGGACATATATTTGTTCATTACTATGTTATTATTACTCTTCATCTCATCTCAGAATTACACAATAAAAGATTATCAGGATAATCATATAAGGTTGAACCAACGGGGTACCTGGCATGGATTTTAATTTTATACATTTTACAATTCCTGGAGAAATAAAGTAAACAGCTTAATATCCTGTGATCACAATATTGAAAAAAGAATGAAGCCATTGATTATATAAAGCAATACGAGAGGAATAATTCGTAAATTGTTTGTGACTAACACGCACCTGGCGAATCGTTAGATATCACTGTTCTGTGTATCAAATGACTTAAAAAAAACGATTCCAAGATCAAGACAATTCTTTCAGAAATGTGTGCATATAGTTTACCGAAACATATTATCCATTTTGTTAAAGTAATATATTCAGTTTTAGTTATAAAATAAAATGAAACGGCTATTCATGGACATTGGTTATCTGAAGTTTTAAATTGACTATTTCATGTCCCAAGAAATACGTACATGCTGCAGTTACATTTACACTTCATCTTGTAACACTTGTCCAAAGGAAAGAAATATTGTATTCGACACTAAAAACCTATCAATTTTTATGTAAACAATGTTCAAACAAACAGGAGGTTATCAAAGATTCGTTCATACATGTTGTGACCTATATTTACGTATGAGATCATTTTGAACATTGACAAATATCCAAAGTGAACTTAATTTTGTGAACAAATGTATAAATGATATGCAAAATCTACATTATGAAATTGTAAACAGCATGATACAATCTCGTGTGCACTCTCATTCAAGGACCTTCACCTCAAAGAAATTACCAAATATATACAACAATGTTGACGTATTACATGACGACCGGCGACGGACTTGGCCTTTGAAAATAGTATGTTCACTGTCAACATTACACGGGATTTTCGAGGGGACTTTCGTTGATTCAGGGATCGTATATACATAAATGTGACATGTAAGTAATCAGAAACATTCTGAAAAATCTATGTACTGTTATTTGTTGTTTTAATTTTCATTGAAACCAACGGAAACAGTCAGAAATCCGATAAATACCGTTGTCGTTGTGCGTGATTTTGCGTCAGTCATGGCGTCACACAGGACGGTAACTTTGTTAATTTCTGTTCTCATTGCAATGTATCTATTTTAAATTCCCTAATTCTTCTTACGATTCTCTTCCCGTGCATATTCTGAAAATGTTGAGCCAATATCTAGAACGAATAGATGGATAGCTCAAAATAGGAGAAAATGCTACACTGTGTAAAATCTGAATTTTCCTTTGTTTACATTTCAAACAAGTGCAGTTTTTTTCTAGCACAGCGTTCGTTTTCACACCTGATTTATTTTGCTTGATTTCATCTAGCAACTTTGTATTGGTGACAAAGACCATTGGCCATTTAATTCTAAAAAGTATGAGGAATTCAAGGATGTATGTATTGCAGCTAAGTTTGAAATATACGTGATGTTACAGGCGTCTCATAACCGGTGTACCTGAAACGTGATTTTGTAAACACTATCCAATATGGCGGAAAGTTCGCTTCGGCGTTCGTGTTTGCGTATTTTCCAAAACATTCGAAACGATTCTAGGGTTATCGGAGACGTTTTGGAATGATCATTGGTGATTTCTTAAAAAGACAGATTCTTTGAGTAAATATCCGAAATTTAGATTTCAAAACATGCTGTAAATAACGCCGTAAGTGGTGATTTAGTATTGTGTAAAAAATGGCGACATTTACGATGTACCTTATTTTCAGGGGTCATTTTGAGTACTTTTGCTTGGCCTAAAATGCCAGTGGATGATATCACAGAACGAGGAATTTTCCATCTTATTCAAAACTGTGAAGTGTATATGTGTGTGTGATGTATTTTGAATTTTATTCGACTTCAAAGTGAGGGTTGTAGAGAAGGGACATATATGTCCCTCTGGCATCCAGGGGTTTAAAGAAACCATGGCCAGAGAATCAAGTTATGGATCAGACGGAAATTCCAGTGACACCATAGTGCATTTACTGCTTTTTGTGGAAACTAAGAAGCGATATGTAAATTTTTAATTACGTCTGCCGTGTACAAGTTCAGAAGTGTGTTTGGACCGCAGCATGGCTACATAACCACAATATTGTTTTTATGCCACGAGTAAAGATATATCTCGGTTGTATCTCGATCATATTCATTTGTTGTTACTCTTGACTAAATTTACACCGAACTGTACGCGTTTTTTGGTTTAAATGACTTTCTATTATGAGGAATCATGTATGTAATTACAATATATTATAATCATAATAGTGCACTCCTTGGGTATTGAGAAATAGTGTATTCATAAATATTCTGATTTATATGTCAGATTATGAGGTTTAGATACCTTTATGTAGTCTTTGAATCGCATTTAGAAGTGTTACACATAAAGAAGAGAATTTAACTTCTTTATAATGAGGATCATTTCAGAGTATATACTCATTCCTTCATTAGGTGAATTAATGCTATGAAGCAGAGAACATATATATGTACCCGTAAGAACAACAAAAGTAACAAGATTACAAAGGTGGAAACTAAACAAGGGCAGCCAACACTTAATTGGCGCTGATATGTGATGAGCAATGGACAAATGGAAGCCAAAACTTAGCAGTTAATAAGCGCTGATAGGTGACAGTGGGACTTTACCACTGATTGGAAATAAGCAATGGACAAAGGGCAAACGGGAGGCAGTGGGTAATTAGCACTGATCGGTAATAGCAATAGAAATGGCAATGGACAAATGAAAGCCAGCTGGATAATTAGCAATATATAAAAGCAATAAGTCCCAAGCACTGAGCAGATAGGTTCCCTCGTCAATGTTCATTGCTGGCTGTGTCTCCTGATGTAGTTTCTTCTTGTAGTTTTATTTGCCACCTGCTGGTAGACAGGACTTTGGTTTGCTTTCAACATGGTGTTAAGGTCTCGCTTCTTAATGGTGTGTTCGGAAATTGCGGATTTCAGGTCTAGTCTGTTGACAGAGGTCTTATGTTCTTTGAGTCTTGTGTTGAGGGATCTGAGGGTTTCTCCAATCTGGCCACAGTTGCAGGGGATCTGGTATATACATCCTCTGGGGTTGGGACTTGCGCTGCTGGTGCATCTGCCATTGGCTCGGAGACTGTTAACTGTTCCATTTGTCCATTGCTAATCACCTATCACAGCGAATTAACTGTTGACTTCCCTTGTGAAGTTTCAATCTTTGTTATCTTAATACTTTATTATTCTCTGCTTCATAGCATTAATTCACCTGATGAAGGAGTAAGTTTATGCTCTTAAACGCTGTGTTCCTCATGATAAAGAAGTTGACCTTATTTCCTCATACCTTTATGTGTTTTGAGATTGAGTCCACAGTATCATCTGCTTGTCTATTTTGAGGGCAAGCAGTTAGACATATCGGCTCATTTTGAGCTATCAAATGGCTTGGTAGATGATACTAATAATTCATTACAGTTCTTTTTCCAAAAATTGGAAAATGAAAATAAAGCAAAATTCACCATATTTTGGCTTATTTCTACTAATAACTCAATCTGTAAGAGACTATAATTACGAAATTAATAATAATTCAAGTAAACTATCACATAAATGATGAAAATAAGGATTCAATGCATACACTACCTTAAAAAGCTTTTGGGGGGACTATATTTGATTTTCTCTCTTTTTACAACTGAAAAGTGCATTTTGACCCCAAAACAGTATCTGCCACCAACACATTTGACCACAACCACCATTTTCTAATCTGTTGGATACAAAAACATACGGAAAACCTAAGTTTGCTTTGTTCTACTATGGGAGGGGTATGTGGTCAATTTGAGGGTCTGGCCACTACTCTATATATCAACACAAAAGGGTTCATCATATCAACACTACAAGGACAAATATATGCTCTCTGCATCCTATCATTCATTCACGTGATACATGAGTAAGCAAATACTCCGAAACGTTGAGATCCTCATGTTAAAGAAGTTGACATTCATAAATTTTCTCTGAACACATCAGAGGATACATAATGAGCGACTGAAGGTACCGGCAATCCAAGCAACTCGGGAAAGACCTATTTACCATATATGTAAATCAATTATGAACTTCCCACAAGCATTTTGATGGGGTTACTTAGTGCCCTGTCAATACAAAGTGTTCTCCTCAATGGCTATAGGAATGGGGTTTTTCAAGAATAAATCACAATGGCCACAGAAACACATTAAGACAGTGCTTATTATAAATTTGTTACATTTCACCACTTTCTACAAGGCACTGTGTTTTCGTAGCTTTCGGCAAAGGGAGCAATGCCAAATCTACATTTGTCTGAGAGGTACACAAAGTACGTCATCTAGACTGCCAGTTGTCGGACTTCCATTTTGTGTGGAAGCCTCGGTGGTTGAGTGGGGTACATTGCTGATGTTCTGTACTGGTGATTAGGTGCTTCACTCTAAGTGTGCGGGTTCAAATCCCGATTGAGACTCAACACAAAACATACTGACATTTGTTACTTTACTAAGAAAGGGCAACCCTAAATATCATTTGTTCTAGAATCAAATAGATTTGAGAAAGCAGGGTCACACACTTCAGCAGTCAAGTCTGAAATGAGAATGTACCAAACAGAGGCACCAGGTAAGTTTTCAACTTTTTCTGTTGCTTGATTCCATTAACTTATCTTCAGCTCATCTCTTGGTCATAGACAAAAAGGCGAGCATGCTGAAGATGCAACGTCAGGTTACCAATGTCAGGTTGCATGAGCTGCAGACGTTTTGGAAGAACACAATGTACAACATGTTTTTACAAAGTATACACAAGCAACCATGACAACGACAAGCAAATCGTAAATGTACGGTATCATGGAAAGGATTAAAAGGAAGAACAAAGTAAAACAAAATATCAGAGAAGTACACATCTACATACCTGTCCACACAGCCTTAAATCCCTTCCTATTCCAATGATTTGTAGTAAACACAACCCGGTAGTAGACAGCTGACTGGACAATGTAGCCCCGTCTGTCTCCACTTAGAAGGACAAGGAGGTTGTTGGAGGCGTCATAAACCTGCAGTTTACAAAAGGAGGATTGAGTCCCAATTTGACTTCATTCCAATTTGGCTGAAACCTGAAACTGTTGGCAAATTCGGATTGAAAAACACTCCTACAGATTCTTACATGTGATAGATACTATAATGATCAAAATAAAAATATTATATATGAATAAAATATTAATATATTATGATTTTCGCAATACATACTAAAACCTAAATTATCGGGAACAGGTCAGTTACTCTTGTTTTCAGTAACAGTTAATGTTTAATATAACCAAACATTAAACACACTCATAATGATTACAGGATAAATACATAGTTTACCAATCAACAAAGCTCCAGTAAACACATCTGGAAACATGTTTACACAAGCAATGGGCGATCTTTTCCAATTTATGTTCCCTTCACTAACCCCGAAAGTCCGTTGACCCAGTCCATCCAACCTTAAACTGACAGAACATATGGCATGTAGCATACTTGTAAGCGATATGTGTTTCTGTATAACTTATAGATGGCTACCTAGTGCAGCCTTCATCTTTAATGGTAACGTTCTCTTTGGCAGTATATCTTTTCGCCCCTAAACAATGCTAATCTTTTGCCATGTCCTGTAATATGTTCTGTGCTCCGGTGATACATCACGGATAACCAGGTTTGCTTACATAGAACAGTAAACCATTCTAAGTCGTTTTTTCCTTAAATTTCACGCTTTTAAACATGATACATAGTGTAGTATGTGTCTATGGGTACGTCGTATTATCGGTAATAAGAATACATGCATGCATTCAGTGCAGTGGTTACAGGCGGTGGTAGGCAAACTTTGAAGCTCTTACATGTATGCTACCTGTTAAGTCGGTCAGATAATTGTGAATTGTGACAGCAACACATATATTTAGTCAGAATATAACTGAGGAATTGAGAAAATAAACGTTCAGGAGATTGTGAAGTAACAGGTACTAACAAATTATGTCATAAACAAATATCCCAAATAACAGAGATGGAAATAACTGAAATCATGTTTGTATTTGTAATATACATGGTTGGAGATTGTCCGGATGATCAGTGTCTGTTTGCTGCCTTAATGCTATTTCTAATTTGTAATCATAAGCCCGTGAAATTTCTTCTTATTTTCTGTCTGTAAAAGTATTTTCTGAAAGAATCATTTATCTGATATTTTAATTGCACGCTTCATTCCATATTGGTTCTTATTGCTTTTCAAATAACATACATGTTTACATACCTTGACAACATCAAACCCATCCACCGTAATGAAATCTTCAAACACGAGAGTGACCAGTGTCTCTCCTGCATCAATGATATAGGTACAGTACAGGTAGTTGCCGTAATTGCCAGGGTAGTTAGGTGAGGTGAAAGAACCAGAGGAGCCTGTGTAGCGCTCACCGCATCCTGAAATAGACACAAAAAGGCCTGTGTGTATGTGGTTGTTCCTAATGTTTCTTCTTATCAAGAAATTCGAAAAATCAAAGAAACCCAAAACTGTTGAATAGGTAAAAGGTGAAAACGGTCGCCCAAAACGTAACAAAATCTCTTTTGATGTAGAAAGATATATTTTTCTCTGCCAATTGTAGCATATTAAGAATAAGTTATTCAAAGTGTAGAGGCAGTTAATTTAGAGTTTAGGCTTAATGTTGATGTTGAAAGATATAAAACATATCCCCATGCAGAAAGGTTTTGTCATTATCTCACCAGAGAAAATAACTTTACTTAGGATGAATTACATGCCCTACATATGTGTGACAGATAAACTGCTTTCAAAAATTCCAACTTCCACGCATATCTTAAAGCAATTCTGTGAGATGCTTTAATTGCACCTGTGAAAACACTGATATATTACAATACACTTTTCTGTAGTTTTGCAACACTGAATAACTTAAGTTTGTCTGTCTGTACATGTATATCTGTGACCACAAACCTATGCTGATGTTGCACAGGCGCTAATGAAGTATTAGAGGACTATGGCTTCTGATATGAAACAAAACGTATGTCTTAGTCAGTTGGCCAGGGGTGAAAAACAAGATTTTCTTTCCCACATTTTCCTTTATACCTTAAACCTTTTCTATTGCATAAAGGAGGTATCTGTACACAATTTCCATTGGGTAGTAAGCTTGCAAGTGTGTGCAGGAATTTTCAGGGGGTCAAAATTGTATAAATTGAAGGAAAAATGCATAATTGGACAAAATTGGCTGTAACATTTTTATTAAGTCATTAAACTATCTAAATTATGTCTTTAATTACAGGTAATATGTTCGGTTATCTGAATTTGGCAAACATTTTGTTTCATTTAACTGTTGTTCTAATTCTCAGTGGAAACATTGGTAAAAATCATGTTTTTTTACTTCATCTTCAAATCTTGTGAGGAGGTAAAACACTAATTCCTTTGAATTGTGACAATTGAATTTCAAGATGGCCGCCATTTTGACCTGTTTTCAAAATCAAGATCTTATATAGTTCTTCAACATGGTCATGTAATATATCATATGAAAGCTTTTCACATTGTCTTTTCAATTATGTACATTATTCACTGACTCCTGTGGTAAATTGATCCCCAACAATGAAAAAAGGAAATATTGAAATCTAATTTCTCTCATGACTTCAACCAATTCCCAAATTAGGATTTATATTAAAATGGACACATTTTCACTCAAAATTGTAGATATACTGCACTTTTGTCTGAGCATTTAACTAGTATATAATTTGAGTGAAGAAATAAACTTGAGAATACTTGTAGTATTATGAAGTATTAAAAATAAAATGTGAAATAATGTCATCTCTAGTCACCGTCAGAGTCCGTCTCATCTGGAGAGGTAGGTAAGTTGTTTCTGTTTAGGCAAGACATAGCACAACTGCATCAAAGGGAACATCCCATAATGTTCTTGGCGCAGCTACACCTGAATGAGGAGCATCTACCTGTTGTGCATTTACATGTGAGCAATTCTAGACACAGTGCTGGCATTCATTCCTGGGTCATTGGGATGGGTTCTATGACATTGTCTGTAGACGTCCACCTATACCCTTCTGGTGGTGGAATGTCAGCCTTTCCTTTGTGGGCAGAACACCACGTGATGCACTGGTGCTGACATCTGAGTAGAGGTTGTGTGGTGGGAGTTCCACCAGAAGAGTATAGGTGGTCGTCTACTGAGGATGTCATAGAACCCACCCCAATGACCCAGAAACGAATGCCAGCACTGTGTCTAGAATTGCACACATGTAAATGCACAACAGGCAGATGCTCCTTATTCACACTGCAAACACAAAAACGTCGGGTTTTTTCCGTATATGGTCATTGGACGGAAAAACGACGTAATTTGGACGTTTTCAAAACCATCGTTTTTCCGTCCAAATAACGTCGTTATTTGACATCGGAATTTACTGGGAGAGAACGATACCGTTAAGCTCCTCCCTTTCTTGATTGACATTGTCAATCAAGCAACACCCTCTACCGGTATTTCTATCTTCTCTGATTTCATTGGTCAGTCCTCGCGTGTTAGATTACAGGCCCCGCGTTTGACGTTGCACTCGAAGCGCTTAGCGGAAGTACTGAAATCAATCGATCTGCGCATGCGGATTACTTAATGCCTTGTCCAAACTTTCCGTTCTGTGCATGCGCGATTTCGCGTATTGTTTCCTAGATTTAATGTCACCACTATTTGACAATGATTCATAAACAAAGTCTCGTGAATGTTCGGAATCCTAATTCCATTTAAATTGAAGAGGAGCCCCAGTGATATGGGAGATTCCGAGATGAAACTATTCTATGGCTATCTAGGCTGCCACCCAAAACGATCTAAACGGGACCCGAAAGCTTATTGTATGCTTATTGATTACCCAATAAAGTCAACTCATAGTTACACGGTTGTGAAGAAGCTTACAACTTTATAACACTTATTCCTCTCATTCCAATAGAGCTACTCGTGTTCTAAAAAAGTTGTAGTTATTATGTCACTGTTTATATCTTGAAAAATATACTATGTGTTCATCAAGTACAAAAAATATGATTATTCAATTTCCGATACAAGTAAATGAATAAGTGTGTTTTACGCCACAATCAGTCAAAGACCAACGTTGTCCGGTCTGATGACACACACTCTACAAGGTAGCACAGTGTGTACACACTAACCCCATTGAAGTCTCCACTGTGGGTATTCCTGGTAACGAAAAGGCCCCATGTACCTAGGAATCTCATTAATACATTCATGCGCGGCATTCTCTACCTCAATAAGGTCATATAGTTAACATGCTAATCTAACTCGAACTACCATCCCGCTCAAGATGAATGTTTTATGTAAAATCCAACAGGCCCACATTTACACACGCACGCACGCACGCACGCACGCACGCACGCACGCAAACAACGGACCTAAATAACCTTGACAGGAAATACTGCTGATAGCCTCTGGTTAACTCAGCCGCGCTACCGCAGAATGTTCGTCCAACTCTGCAGGGGACATCCTCAGTGGCTTTAATCATACTGAAATGTCTTCGCCTTGCATCCAAGATGGTGGACAAGTGAAATCGTATGAAATTTGGCTATTTTAGGTCGCTGTCTCTTTTTTGATAACCCATAAAGTCAACTCATAGTTACACGGTTGTGAAGAAGCTTACAACTTTATAACACTTATTCCTCTCATTCGAATAGAGCTACTCGTGTTCACATAAAGTTGTAGTTATTTTGTCACTGTTTTATTTCTTTAAAAATATATTTCGTGTTCATCAATGACAACATTCAATTTCCGATACAAGTAAATGAATAAGTGTGTTTTACGCCACAATCAGTCAAAAACCAACGTTGTCCGGTCTGATGACACACACTCTACCAGGTAGCACATTGTGTACACACTAACCCCATTGAAGTCTCCACTGTGGGTATTCCTGGTAACGAAAAGGCCCCATGTACCTAGGAATCTCATTAATACATTCATGCGCGGCATTCTCTACCTAAAGAAGATCATATAGTTAACATGCTAATCCAACTCGAACTACCATCCCGCCCAAGATGAATGTTTTATGTAAAATCCAACAGGCCCACATTTACACACGCACGCACGCACACACACACACACACACACATTTTGATTTACCAATCCCTGAATTAAGAAGACGTGCGTTACGAAGCTCCTCCAAGTCATCATCAATATCCGTAAATGTCTGCGATATTATTACCCATCCAAAGCTGAATATACATTTATTGTGCTTTCTTGACAACAAATGTTATAATTGGGATAACACTTTCTGAGTAAAGTACAGATTCTCGTACTTTTTTGGGTTGAGTCCCGTCCGGGATTTGAACCCACACTGTGAGTGAGGCACCCAATCGCCAGCACACAAAGTCAGCGATCTAACCCAGCCACCGAACCAAAAATGTTAGTCCAGGTGACATGCTTTGTGTACTCCTCTGACAAGTGAAATATGGCACGGCTTCTATGGCCGAAAGCTTTGAAAGCCACAATGCCATTAAGAAAGTGGTCAACAGTAACACATATTATATTTGGATAACACTTTCTCAGTAAACTACGTATTCCCGTACTTTTAAGGGTTGAGATAATAGACGTTGATGGTTGATTATCGATGGACAAATTAAAGCCAAAACTTAACTTATGAATGATTGGTAATGGGAAATGGACAATAGTCAAACGGGAGGCGGGGTAATCAGCGCCAGTTATCTGTTGGCTTCCCTTTTTGCGTTTCCTTCTTTGCTATCTTTTTACTTCTGTTGTTCTTACAGGTACATATATATGTTCTCTACCTCATAGCATTTAATAATATTCACCTGATGAAGGAGTAAATATATACTCCGAAACGCTGTGTTCCTCCGTTGACATCCATAAATATTTTTCCTTATGTGTATCAGTTCTTAATGCCCTTCAAAACCTCAAATCTAGCTTTGTTTTTAAATGTGGTGATATTTGCGTAGAATATAATATGGTCATGCCTATATACATTCGGGTCTTTGTCTACATGATCATTTAGACATAACATTTTGAGCTAAGGACATTGCTAATTCTGCAGGAATGCAGTACACGCCATAGCAAGCTGTGATCTTTATTCATACTTTAGATATTCGTAATGGAGATCTGTAACTGAAGTTTATCGTAATCTTCCGCAACACCTCCTGACCAGTTGACCTTCTTAGTGCATTCAGATGCCATTGTAAATTCCAGGCTGCCCCTCTTTTTGTGATGTTTTGACGGATGAAATCTATTGCGTTATAATAATCTCTGTTTGCTGATATTTAATATGTACATGTTATAAAATATTTACGATATTTTAAACGTGTAATTCGATGCATATGCAATGCAATGTGAACATAAGTGCGGATGCACGAAGGCGGTTTTAGTCATAGTTATAGTGCGATGGATGTAGGGGAATGGTAGGAGGGTGTATGTATG